GTTAAAGAATTGCTTGTGGAAGGGGCCTTAAATGCAGAAATAGATTACTTGAATGAGAGGCCCAGGAATCATTTGGCTCCCATCACGTAACTCATTCACTTCCACGAAGCCTGCTGGGATGCCAGGCTCTGTGCAAGGCTGGGCTGCAGAGGTCAGCACGAGGAGCGCTGTGCTAGGATTTGAAGGGCTAACTGGCTATCCCCTTCGCCATGGCCTGGGAGTCATACAGGTGCAGCTGGTAGGGGTGGCATAGTTCTGACGACCCGATTCCTGGGTCTTGGCCCTGTCCTACAAACCACACCTCTGCCCAGCCAGTGGGGGCCCAGAGGGATGGCAGAGGGGTCACAGAGGTGAGGGGAGGTGAGAAGCCTCCAGTTCTCCCTCACTTCCCCTTTGGGGCGATGGCGCTGCCATCCCTCTTATGGGAGATGCAGGGTGTGGGTGATGAGGCATCTAAACAGCTCAGGAATTCTAAACAGACTCCACACAGCCATCCACAATTCTGAGCACCTGGGCTGCGTGTGCCCTGCAGAGGCAAAGGTGAATGGAGATGAAGGGGGTGCTGGTGGGAACATGGAGAAAGTTGGGAGCTGAGAGGAAGGTGGGAGGGAGCTCTTGGCCTGGCTTTTCTTGCTGAGCCCCTAGGGGCTGCGGCCCGAGTCCACAAACCCCCTCCTATGGGAGCTGACCCTCAGAGGGCCAAGAGCAGGAAGGAGCCAAGGGCTCTGGCAAGGACCCTGACCCTGGGGAACAAAAGACAAACTTGTTCCCTCTGTTTGCCTTTTATTGTGGTGTTTGGGTTTTGTTCCATTTTCTTAGTGTTAGGAGAATAAAAGAGCTCAGTGAAAAATAATTGGGGGTTTGGTGAATCACGGTAGTTCTCTTCAGGTCTGGTGGTGGTTTTGTGGTTTGTGGTTCTTTCTGACTTGGGCCCTGGATGCCGAGGGAAGGATTGAAGTTGGAAAAGCACAAAGGTCCTGCTTATTAATATTATACTAAGAAGTGGGTGGGGCAAAGTGGCTGACACCTGTAATCCCAGTACTTTGGGAGGCTGAGGCTGGAGGATTGCTTGAGCTCAGGTATTTGCGATCAGCCTGGGCAACATAGTTAGATGTCATCTGTGCAAAAATAATGATAACTAGCCTGGCGTGGTGGCACATGCCTGTAGTCCCAGTTATTCAGGAGGCTGAGGTGGGAGGATGGCTTGAGCCTGAGAGGTTGAGGCTGCAGTGAGCCATGATCGCACCACTGCACTCCGCCTAGGCGACAGAGTGAGACCCTGTCTCAAAAAAGAAGAAGAAGAAAGAAAAAAAATAGACTTAGAAGTGGTCACAGGGCAGGTTCCTGGAGTCTCTCCACGAAGGCCCTTGATATCAGAGAGGCCCCAGCTGGGATGCATGGGGACTCCCCCAGCCCCCTTACCCTAATGTTGGTGGGGGAAAGAGGTAGCCTGCAGCCGTCCCCCACCAGCTCCCCTCTCATACTCATTCACTGGAAAGAATGCTCTGGAAAACACCGTTGGCCTGTGAGCTATTACTGTGTGGAGGTGACTGAGTCACCGTCATCCCTGCCCCTTCAGGGCCCTCATCCCTCCACGCCTGGATCTGTCCTCCCCTGGAGCCAAGGAACCTGTGGAGCCAGAGAAGAGGAGAGAGACTGGGAGAGCGTGCTGGGGAAGAAAGAGGGAAAGAGGCCTGCCTGGCGGTGGGGCCCACACTGACTTGGGCTCACAGTCATCCCACCATTTTACCTGGGGAAGACTGCCCCAAACTAACCCAGGCTTGAGCTCTCCTGGCTATTTTGGAATTGGTGGGGAGTGTCTGAAAACTGGGGAAATGACTTTAAAGAAGGACCCCTTCTATGTGCCCCCAGCTCCGCGCCCTGCAGAAGGAAGCAGTCCCTGTGGCCCTGCGGGGGAAGGGAGCATCCGCCTGGCCCCACCCCGCCCCGCCCGGCCTCTGCTCTCAGTGGCTTCTTTCACTCATGGGGTATTTTTACTTTTCCCTTGTTCCTGTTACATGATCAAAGGAGGGAGGGGAAGCTAAAAGCGGCAATGGCTTGCCCAGCTCTCTGGAGAAGCTCAGAAAAGGCAGGCCTGGTGGGACTGAGAGGTGGACAGGGACCTGTGGGCAGGGGCTGGGACCCGGTCCTGTGGGAGGGAGGTCTCACAGGGGATCTTACCAGCTTGGGGCTCCAGGCTCTTGATTCTAATCTGTGGGTGTTTGCCTTTCTCCTCTCAGAGGCCTCCTTCCCCCATGGCCTGTGTCCTTCCCCGTGTGTGTGTGTGTGTGTGTGTGTGTGTGTGTGTGTGTGTGCGCGCGCGCGCGCGCGCGTGTGCATGCACTGCTCAGCCCAGACATGTTCCAGTCTCAAGGAGATGCTAGTGTGAGCCCTCACAAAGGATCTGGAAGCCTGAGCAGGGCCTGACTGTCAAAAGCTGCAGTGCATTGATCTGCCAGCCTGGATCTGCCCTGCTGCAGCCCCGGCACATGGCCTGTCATGATGCCAAAAATCCCTCCATTTGAAATTCATGGAAACTGGTCATACACTCACAGGACGTTGGAATTGGCAAGGCCGCACAGAGGAGCAGCCAGGGGCATGGGCAGCCTGCACAAGCTCTGTGCCCCTGGCTAGATGTCGCCTAAGCACTTAGTGCCTTGGCTTCCTCATCTGTGAGAAAGGGATAAAAATACCATGTGGCTCATAGGGATGTGCGGGTTACATGAGAAAATGTAGGTAAAGCACTTAGAACAGTGCTTGGCACATGGCAGTGGTTGTCATTTGCTGTGATTTCTCCATGGGGCACCGTCAGCATTTGGACGGGATGGTGTTTCACCTCACTGCAGCCTCTCCCGCCCACAGCTGGCCAGTCAGCATCTCTGCCCCCCACCTGAGCACGGGCAGGTAGCTGACTCTCCGCCATGATTGCAATAACTGAAAATATGTCAGCAGGGGCAGTATTGCTCCCAGATTGGATTTCACTCCAACCCACCCATTTTAAGGATTTTCCTGAGGACTAGGGGGGTGCACCTTACCTCCAACCACTGTAGCAGAACTGTGAGATTCGGCTGTGGCTCTTCTAGTTTCTGTCTTCTGAATTTCCTGATACTGGCATTGGCAAATCACGCCCGACCTCCTGGCCTCTCCACAGCCATCTAGGACAGAGATCTGGTAAACTTATTCACAGGAGGGTGTGAGTGATGGACAGCTCCATACAGGTGCAGCCCCTGCCCCTTGTATTTTAATGGCTCTTAAGCCTTCCCCAAAGCACTGGCATTGGCTCCCAGTCCTAGGTCCCTGGCTCCTGGCTCCGGAGGAGAGGGTGGTATTGAGAAACTTTCTGTGGGCTTTGCGGGGGCTTCCCCAGTGTGGCTGATACGGCTTCTGGTCTTGGATACATCTTGACTGGCTGTGTGACTTTGGGAGAGTTATGTGATGTCTCTGGGCAACCGGTTCACCTGCAGCATGGGGCCAGGGAGAATTAGTAGCCATATTCTTGGTTTCTGAGGAGGTAATGTGAAGGGAGCATTTTGAAGAAGGGGTGAAATGTGAAATGAGGGTCTGGAAGGCCGGAGAAGCTGAGGAGCTGAGGCTGGATTCTGGGGCTCTGCAGCTTCCTTCCCTCCCCTTGGCCCAGACTGGTGCAGTCAGGGCCTCTGTTGGGGGAATGAAAGGTGGGGAGGGATGGCCCTGAGACCACTGCTTGGTCTGGATGGAGGGACCACATCTTTGGGGAAGCCTCTTAATCCCATCATAAGCTCCTTTTTCAACTGCTTGGGGAAACCAAGGCACAGATGGACAAGTGGCTTGTTGGTCTTCTTTTGACAAATCCCTGGGAAGGGATCCTTGGGTTTGATCCCCAGCCAAGCCCTGACTTAGCTTCCATCCCTTCTCCCTGTGGCCTCCTAAGTGGTGGGGAGGGAGGTTGCTGGCTTTGAGTGAGGAGGCTGGGGTGAGGGAAGGAACCCCCAGGGGAAATTAGCCCAAATTAGCAGTGAGAATGAGGAAGGGTGGTGTTCTCTGCTCTACCCTTGCAGATAAATATTTAATCACAACAACAATAATAATGATGATGATCTTAATAATGTGCAGTAGCTCAGGCCGTAACCCGAGCCCCGCTCTCAGAGGGAGGAAGTGGGGGTTGGGAGAAAGGGCAGTGGAGAAATGGAAAGATGAAGAAAGTCAGGAGAGGGAGGGAGGGAGGACGTGCAACCTGAACGGAGGCTTGCTCTGGCAGGGGCTGCTGGGTTTACCCTCTCTGCCTGGGGTAGCTGTGCAGCTGGGGTGGAAGCCGGAGAATACAGGGTCCACTTTGCGCCCCCTGACTGAGGATGAAAATCCAGAACCCCCACAGCCTCAGCTCCTCCCTGGTCTTCCCTTGGCCTTCAGAGTGAGCAGCTCCAGCCTGCACCACCACCTCCCAGGATGATTTCTTCTTGAGGGAACTTACTTGCCTTTCTGGGTCTCTGAGTCCCTGAAGAGCCAAAGTGTCTCAGGTTCCAGAGCTGAGAACAGGGAAGCTGGGCTGCAGTAGGCATTGTCCACGTTTTTCTGAGCTTGGAATTAAATTGCACACTCCCTGTGTGACTCAGGCAAAATGCTCTCCTGCTCTGGGCCTCAGTTTCCTCATCTGTGATGGGATTGGGCCCATGGGACCTGTTTCTTGCTCTTCACATGGGTGTGTTGAGGAAGGCCCCTGTTCCTCCCAAGCCAGTTCCAGGCTGTTCCTGGGGAGTGTGCTCTCTGATACCCAGGCTACTGATGGCAGTGGGTGCGGGCCTTAGGAAGCTTCAAACATGACCTAATTTCTCCCTTACATGCTCCCATTTAAGCCAGAGTTGTGCAAAGGCAGAGAGGAAACCATGTTCAGGAGATTTATGGAGTCTTTGGTATAACCTCCAGCATCTCCTTCTCTCAGGCTCCTGATGAGAGATGAGACTAGCTAATGCCTTCTTTGGGTTTCTGTTTGATACTCTCTCTGTCTCTCTTCCCCTTCTAAGGTTGGTAAGAGGAAAGAATTGGAGCTGTTTTCTCCTTGATGCCAAGATACGCCAAGCTAGGAGCACTCTGCGCTTTCCACAGTCATCCACCGAGAACAGGCCTGCAGGACGGGACGAGGATCAGAGCCTCCCTGCAACCCCGGCCACTGCCTGCCGTCTGTGGGCCTGGACTGTGCGGGCAACTGCACTTTGCCCGAGTGACAAGGAGGAGGTGGGAGAGGGCAGCAGCATGGGCCATGTGGTTGGCTGCCCTCAGTCCCCCTGCTGCTGAAGCTGCCCTGCCCATGCTCACCCAGGCCGTGGGTCCAGGGACCTGCCAGGGCTAGGAGTGAGCCTGCTGTTCATGGGTCTCTAGGGATTTCCGAGATGCCTGGGAAGAGAGGCTTGGGCTGGTGGTGGGCCCGGCTGCCCCTTTGCCTGCTCCTCAGCCTTTACGGCCCCTGGATGCCTTCCTCCCTGGGGAAGCCCAAAGGCCATCCTCACATGAATTCCATCCGCATAGATGGGGACATCACACTGGGAGGCCTGTTCCCGGTGCACGGCCGGGGCTCAGAGGGCAAGGCCTGTGGAGAACTTAAGAAGGAAAAGGGCATCCACCGGCTGGAGGCCATGCTCTTCGCCCTGGACCGCATCAACAACGACCCGGACCTGCTGCCCAATATCACGCTGGGCGCCCGCATTCTGGACACCTGCTCCAGGGACACCCATGCCCTCGAGCAGTCACTGACCTTTGTGCAGGCGCTCATAGAGAAGGATGGCACGGAGGTCCGCTGTGGCAGTGGCGGCCCACCCATCATCACCAAGCCTGAACGCGTGGTGGGTGTCATCGGTGCTTCAGGGAGCTCGGTCTCCATCATGGTTGCCAACATCCTTCGCCTCTTCAAGGTCAGTGCCTTGGTTGGTCCCCTGAGGTGCTCTTCCCCCAACGGCCTCTGCCCACCATACTCCAGGATGCCAGGCCTGGCTGACCAGCCCCTTTCTCCTCCTATTTTCCTTGCTTCAAAGGACAGCTTTTTCCTCAGAGCAGTGTCTGAGAATTTGGGGCAGCCCTTCCTGGTTTCAGTATGTTGTCCTGTGGTCCTAGCATAGGCACAGCAGAGTGAAAGGCATCAGGGAGGGACCCAGCCGTGTGGCACTGACCGAGGTGCTGAAACAGCACCTGCCGCTGGAGGCTCAGTGAGCAACTCCTCTCCGGGGAATTCTGCACCAGGAGGGAAAAGGATGTTCTGGAGAGCGACAGAAGGGAGGAGGAGATAGGCAGACAGACAGATAAAAAGATAGGCAGGTGGATAGACAGAAAGGCAGACAGACAGATAAGAAGAATGGAAAGATGAATGCTGGAGGTTCCTGGGGAGATGAGACTTTTGCTTTGATGTTGTTTTCAAATAATTGCAATTCCCCCAAAAGATGTGTTTTTCTTCTGGGTAGTTGAGGAAGCCCCTTGTGGCTCTCTTGCCCCACCTGAGGTTGGAGAAAGTGTCTTCATTTTTTGGATGGGGTGTGGGGCTGCTGAGCCTGCGGAGAATGCAGATGAGGACCGGAAAACTGAGGCCTGCGGGAGTAGGCCGTCTCTTTCTGGTGCCCTGGGCCCTGAACCAAGCTTTCCTTTTATTTCCTTCCTTTTTCCCTTCTTCCCTGCACACCTTTCTCCCTTTCCTTCTGGAATCCCTCCCAACCCCCTCCTCGCCTCCTCCTTTCCTCTCTTCCTGGGGCAAGAGCTGCTGATTTGCAATTCAATTGGAGCCAAGTGCTTCGCTAAGCTGCTAAAACAACTGAAAGCTACCGGGTAGAGAGAAAAACATTACAAGCATTTTACCAATAATTATGTGCCCGCTTCTCTCTTGGAGCCTGCCTTGTTTGCTCTGTGTGTGCATGTGTGTGTGTGTGTTTGTGCGTGTTTGTGTGTGTGGGGAGTGGAGGAGAGAATGGGGAGAGGAAGAGGAAGGGACACTGAGGAAGCTGCTTGGTCCCTCCCTCACCCTGGTGTCAGATTCTTGGTCTCTGGAGTTGACCTTTGTCTCCCCAAAGTCTCCAGGGGTAGGGAGTGGACCGAATGGCTGTTTTGCACCAGGCATGGTGGGGAGAGCTGAGGCTGGACCCCTCTCACCGGGACTCTTTCTGGAAGCCATTAGCCCACCTCCCATGATGCATCAGGACTTGGGGGCCTGTCTGGCCGCCAGCATAGAAGTGGGGATGAAGGGAGAGGATGGTCACAGTGTTGGGGTTGGGGTGAGGAAGCCGATGGGCGGGGGTGACAAAGAGAGGAGGCCAGAGTTGTGCTGTCACATGTCTGGGTGGGGCAGGACTTTTGCCAGTTGGCTGCTCTGGGGCTGAAGAGCACGTGTGCCCTCTCCTGTGTATATAGCCCTGTTTCTAGTATGTTCTGTGGGCCTCGAATATGAGGCTTTTCCTGGAGTGTTGGTTTTACTTGATGATTTGGGTGAAAACATAATTTTAATTTTAAAACAAATGGATGCCTTATGAAGAGTGCAAAAGTTGTATGTGGTTTAGAATTTTTTTTTTTAATGATCAGTGGTTTAACTTGTTTGTATGTAGTTTGACGATGAAGCAGGGAACTTGAAGAAATTTCTGCCCTTGCATTAGGCAATTGGAGCAATCCCCGGGGACTGTGTCGCTTTGAACGTCTTTCAGAGTTCCCTGGCAGGAGGGTTCAGGAATGGGTAGCCTGGCTCAGCCCTCCCACTGCACCCAGTTTTGCAGTGGGGACTGGAGACCAGAGGAGAGGCAGAGCTGGCTGGGCTGTCCCAGGCCAGGGCCTAGTGATGGCTCAAGCCAGATGAGTCATCACTTCAGCCCGCCTGGCCCTGGCCTGAGAGCTGAGGCAGCCGAGGCTGTCCAGCAGAAGGGACAAGCCCTGGACTCCTCCTTGTCAGCCTGGCAGGGTGGGGCACAGACCTCCAACCTCCAGGAAGGCTACCCCACAAGTGACGCTGCTGCATTCTCTATCTGAGACTGTAATTAAACTTCTCTAGTGACTCTGGGTCTTTTAGAAAGATGGTAAAACAGCCTGGTGTAGTCCTTGAAGCTGTGACATTGGTGAGGGTCCCCTCTCCCGTTTTCCAGAGGGGAGTGAGTGCCTACTTTACAGGGAGGTGGAGACGCCGAGAGGAGCTGAGTTCCCGTCACTTGGCATATGGTGAAGGCTCAAGGGATGGTCACTCAGCGTTAGGTATTAGAGTATGTACTTGGGAACATAGATGTTTTGAGATGAGATGCTCAGTGCCCAGATGGGGGAGTGGGCTGCAGCTGCTATGCTAACCTCTCCCAGCAAGGGGAAGGGCCAGGTGGGGCGAGGCGCCTGGGGTGAAGAGCGTCACTATCCTAGGGGTTCCTGGTGTCCTCTGTTTGTCTGGCTACAGGGGAGCATGGTGTGGTCTCAGTATGGCCTGTGCCTCTTCAGAACACAGGATGGAGTGGTTGGGGCCAGGGTCAGGAGCCCCCCAGGCTGTACAGACAGCACGGCAGGACCAGGAGGTAGAGATCTGGGGAGTGGAGCAGAAAGGGGGAGTGTTAGAGCTGGGTGAGGGAAGGGAGGGGCGGGGAGAGGGAGCCAGCCGGCTGTGGCCTGCATTCCCTGGGTCCCTTTTAACATCGGTAATGTTCCAGGCTGGCGACAAGAGGCCTCCTCAATAATTAAACTGATAGAAACAAGAGGCTGGGTGAGAAACTTAAAAGCCACTTACAGAAGCAAAAAGATTGAACTTTGGGGAGGGAGGTTGGGAGCAGGAGCCTCTGGAAGGAGAGGGTGAGCAACGGATACCTTTAGGGAGGGAGCCCTGTGCCCACCGCCAGGTATCTGTTTAAGAGGACACCACTGCAGCCCCTGCCCTGCTCCCCTGATGATGGGTTAATGTGGCCTGCTGGGAACCTGGCACCAGAGGCTGTGATGACAGCTCTCCTTCCTGCAAGAGGTGAACTTCCGGTGCTTGGCTCAGAGGGGAGCTCTGGGTTTGGGGGCACCTGGTGATTTCCTGCATGGAGAATGCTAATGGGGTGCAGTTGGGGCCAGGCTGGGAGCAAAACTCACAAGTGGCAGAGCTGGAAGGGGCCAACCTCTTGCTCTGCAGATGTGGACACTGAGCCCTGATAAAATGACAGGGAAGGGCTCAAAGCCAGGTCCCCTCCCCAGGCCTGACTCCTGGGAAACTGCCTGCTCAAATCAGCTGAGTCGGAAGTAGGTTGAACAGGTCTTTTTTGGGGACCAGAAGGCCTGACTCTGGGAATTCATAGGTCTGACAACTTCTATCCTTGACTTACCTGTTCCCACACCTTCTTTCATCCGAAATTTGTCCCATTCTTTCAGGACAGGGGGTGCTGATGGGTGTGAAGAATACCTTTTGGTGGGCTCCTAAGCCCAGTTGTTGTAGCCTGTACAATGCACTGTTGCGGGCCCAGCCCAGGTTCTGGAGCAAGTCAGGCCTGGGCTTTGATTCCTGAGCCACTACTTACCTCACCTCCACTTACCATGTCAGTTATTTATACCACAGTGTTAATGAGGCCGTAAGACCTGGGCACAGTGGCTCCCAGCACTTTGGGAGGCCGAGGCGGATGGATCACCTGAGGTTAGGAGTTCGAGACCAGCCTGGACAACATGGTGAAACCCTGTCTCTACTAAGAAAACAAAAATTAGCTGGGCGTGGTGACATGCACCTGTAATCCCAGCTCCTCAGGAGGCTGAGGCAGGAGAGTTGCTTAAGCCTGGGAGGAGGAAGTTGCAGTAAGCCGAGATCGCGCCACTGTCCTCCAGCCTAGGTGACAGAGTGAGAGTTCGTCTCAAAAAAAAAAAGGAACTTTTCCTGAGAGCAGTCATTTTTGGGAGAGGGGGTGAAGAACACACTGGAGACCCCCTGGAGGGAAGCAGTTTCCAGATTCTGTACATGTAAGAGCTCAGAGGGATCCAGAAATCATTTCTTTGAGTCTTCTATTTATTTTGCAGCGGAGAAAGCTGAGGCTTGGAGAAGGGAGCGCTGTACCACACAGGGGCAAGCATTTGGACTCTGGAGCCAGGTAGCCTGGGGCCTGACCACCCTGGCAAACTGCTTAACCCTTCTCTGCCTCAGTTTCCTCATTTGTAAAATGGGGATGATAATGGTGTCAGCCTCATAGGACAGTATGGGGATTCAGAGTTAAGGTCCGGCTAGATGTCGTGGCTTATGCCTGTAATCCCAGCACTTTGGGAGGCTGAACTGGGCAGATCACTTCAGGTCAGGAGTTCAAGACCAGCTGGCCAACATGGTGAAACCCTGTCTCTACTAAAAATACAATAATAAGCTGAGCTGGGCGTGGTGGCTGTTGCCTGTAATCCAGTGAGGCAGATGAATGACTTGAACCTGGGAGGCAGAGGTTGTTGTGAGCCGAGATCGCACCATTGCATTCCAGCCTGGGTGACAAGAGTGAAACTCAGTCTCAAAAAAAAAAAAAAAAAAGAATTAAGGTCCAAGAAGGCCTAGCATGGTGCCTGGCACACAGTCAGCCCACAGGAAATGTCACTGCACAGCTTGTAGCTGGGCCTTAAGTCAGCATGAGGGACTCCACCGATGCGGAAGAGGATGGAGCGGGCAGGCAGTGACAGACGGTGACCTTTAAGGCTGATCCCGGAGAGTTCCCCACCATCTGCTGGGCCTCTTGTGTCTTCCTGCCTTGAGCGCAGTGCTCAGTGTTGAGACTGAGCACACAACTTAACTTTGGGTAGTGAGAGTTTGAGTTTCTTGCTATCACGAAATGGGGATGTGGGAAGGGGGAGCATGTGCCCTCTAGGCTCTTGGCTGCTTCTGGAGCTGAGGCTAAGGGTGTGGCCCTGGGGGAACTCTGGCTTAGATCACACAAGATGTTCTGTCGAGGACGTGGCTTTGTGTCTTTATGTG